CAAAAGCAACAGATCCACTCAAGCTGCCCGGGTTTGTACCTTCCTCCTACAGATATCTCAGCTCTTTATGCAAAATCTCCCTCTCTTTTTTATCTACCTCTCTAATATCTAAACCAACAATGGCAGTGTCCCCTGCCTTATCCATAGCCGGCGTTGGTGCCGGAACTCGCTTCTCCGGCGAGTTTAAGCTACTGAGTCGTGTTGAAACTAGGCTATCTCAAAAACCCAGAAAACATTCTGGCTGTTTGTGCTTTCATAGGCACCAATTACGTCAGTATTACAAGTGCTTTTGGCAAGAATTCAGAACCGAGAAGTTGAGTTTGAAGGAAAGTTTGGCTCTTCGTAAAGATCATGATGATAGCTTTCTCTCGGTATGGTGTTCCATTTTATGATGGTTTTTGTTTGATGTGAACTGTTAGTGTTGGGAACTGTAGAATGTGAAAATTCAAGTTTATGGGCTTGCTCTTTCTTTTCTTTTCTTTTCTTTTGTATGTTTTGGTTAACTTGATCATGGTGTTGTTTGATTGGGTGCTTGAAAAACTGGTGAAAGTGTTTGAAAGATTGAGACTTTGCATTTGAATCACATGTTCTATTTTAGTTCTGTTGTTATATATACTGCTTGACTTGTGTTTTGTATCATTCCTAAAAAGTTCCAAATTTCTTGTCGTGAGGGGAAATTAGATAACATCAAACAAACTGTTCCTGTTGGGAAACTTTGAAATTTTTCTCCTTTCTTGCCAGTTCTGTTGACTTCCTGATGTGAGAATATATGAAGAAGCTAGGTAATGAGATTTAATGGGTAAAAAAAAGCTTTCTTTTACCTTCTTTATGAGGTGGGGTTTGTTTTTGTGTTGATTTTGAGAAGAGGCCATGCTGGGTAGTTGTCTCCTACATTTTGAAAGAAATGTTTGCTCTTTATGTCTCATGCTCAACCTCTGGTTGTAAGCCTAGGACTCTCATGACTTTCCTTCAAGTAGCTTTTCTGAATTTTTGGGAGAAGCATTATTGGAAAATTAATTTGCAATTTTGTGGTGTAAATGGTTGGTATGTGCTTAATCTAGACTTTAAGTACAGGCATGATCTTTAATTTATAATCAAGCCCTTGCAACACGTTCAGATTTGATTTTGTTCTTCCTTTACAAATATGTGAAATCTTAGTTATTTATTCTTTATGGTGTCATAAACCTGTGGAGTTGGTTTTATGCATTTATTGAATCATCACATTACTATATCTTGTTCAGTTTTTATGCTTATCTTTTATTTGTGACTGTTCTGTGCAAAGCACATTCCAGTAGTCATAAAGAAAGGTAGTAAGGTGAAAAATAAATCAAACGGTATTTCCTTTATTTAATATATTGCACGAGGTTTCTATTCTTTCTTTCGTTTTTCCCCTGCTGAATGCCAGAGCCCTCCTTCAAGTTTTTTAAGTTTTGATTAGTCAGAATGAGACTTAGCCTTCACCATGCCTTTTTTTTTTTTTTCTCTTTGAGTTAATATCTAAGGCATTCTATCTTACAAGCATAAAATGCCCGAAAAAGTGAGAGTTTTCAGCTTCTGATTTTAGGCCAAGTCAATTGATTTTATTAGGTTAGGGTATATCTGACTATCAGTAGAAATTTAATTGTTTGCGTTTCATGGATACTGAAAGAAATTCACTCTGCTTTTTTGGGGCTTTTAACACCAGTTTATTTGAATGTATGACATTCTTTCTTTTCTTATTTTGTATTGAATACATTCCAGTGTCGTGATGACTGGAATTGGAAGATTATTGTGATTAATGCATAACTATCTATCTGCTTACTGAATGTTAGGGTGAGTGTTTCCAGTACGTTTGAGGCATTGTTCCTGACATGATTGATATCCTTGCAGAATGTAGAAGATACAGATGAGATATTTGATGACTTGTTCAATAAATATGGAAAAGTGGTCTTTACAAGCAATGACAAAAAACCTCCTACTGCAGAGGTTGATGATGATGCTGAAAGCTTGTCATGTAAGTTTATACCACCCATATTTAAAAGCACTATTATTGCCAATGTTTTACTTACATATCGTAATTATCTGTCTGCACCTTGTATTTCCGCTATACATGTGGGTGCTGGCTTTTATCATGTATCTTAAATCTTAGATATCTAATTTTGTACTTTTATGCTCCATTACTGATTACAATTAATATAGTGATTTAGTTTGATCGGTGTTGCTAATGCACACTTGCTGTTGCTTTTACTTGATCATGTGGTTACTATGGCTTATATTGTCATTGCTATCATATTCATTTAATTACTTCATTGTGCGGTTCAAAATTTTCTTGCCACCTGTGACATGACATTGCTCCAGACCAATGCTGTTCTGCTTTGTTCACAAGTGCTGCTGACAAGTACTTTGATATGGACAATCATGTTTCTAAGACTTTTGAAAATGTATATTCTTTTTTCTTTTTCTTTTTTTGCTAAGCAAACGATTTCATTACAATGGGACTTGTATGTCTTTCAACTTCTGCCAAGTCTTGGCTAGTTGGTGCAGCTCAGCTAGTTGTGGTGCCTTTCAGTTCTCTATGGGACTTTGGTGCTTTTTTGTTCTTGCCCTTTTTGTAAATGATTCGTGAGCTTCTGAAGTTCACTGGGTTCCTTTATGATCAAGGCATGCATAGTGCAGTTATGCATACACACAGGCTTTGG